TGCAACCTACTAGCGATGGCCTCCAACCTAGAAGCGATGGCCTCCAAACCTAGAAGCGATGGCCTGCAACCTAGTAGCGATGACCTCCAAACCTACTAGCGATGGCCTCCAACCTAGAAGCGATGGCCTCCAACCTAGAAGCGATGGCCTGCAACCTAGAAGCGATGGCACCTAGAAGCGATGGCCTCCAACCTACTAGCGATGGCCATTGTTCGGACGGACGCAAAACATGGCAGAGCATGCACTGTTTGAAAGGGTTCCTTCCGACAGTGTCTCATGTTGGAAAGTTGCCTTCCGAAAGTAGGCCCATGGCACCCATGACTCAAATCATCACTGTTTAAAAGGATATAAAAGGAATGTGTGTTCCATGACGCTCAAGCCCTCCCACTTTCTGTGTGAAGATGCACACCCTCAGGATGACTTGAATACACAGATTTTAGGGGGATGTATTTGTGTGTGTGGCTGTCTTCAACCTCGTGCTGTTTTCAGTTGTTGCTGCGCTGACTTGACCCAGGGATGTTCACGGGATGCCTTCCTTGGGGGTAAGAACAAAGGGGCCCCTCTTCTGGGAAGGATGTCCTATTGTGGTTGCACCAAACTATATAAGTGCACTATAGACTATACCCACTACTCACTCAACTAACATTGAAATGCGTGAAATGGTAACCCGGCAATTTCTGAAGGATAGAAGGATATTTAAGGGAACAAAGTGTTCAACTGGACAATTTTCCCTAATCTTCCACTGAGACGTGCTGTCATCACCATTTCTGGGCTCAAGTCGCTTCGAAGATTCGGTTCGAACGCCAAGCAGATGCTTGGTAGCTTCGCATGGGAGCCCGGCACGGGTACGCTTGAAAGGACATCGAAGCAAGTTAGATGCTGACATCACTGAAGACTCTCACAGACGCCGATTTCGGGTGCAATTGTTTTTGTTATTTGTTATGTTTGGGTTTAGGATGGTTTAGGGGTTTTCGATGGTTGAATTCAGTGAGTCAGGGGCACTCTCATTGTGTCCAACGCTCTCTTCTGTTGACATCTCAAAAGCCAAATGCTGGGACTCACACTTGAGCGGCTTCTCGTGCCAAGGCCATGTGGAGAAGGAGGCGCGAGGTCGACGTGACGTTGGTGCCACGTTTGGGTGGGTTCGAAATACTCCACCCACTTAAAGGGTCAGCTATAGGCTATAGGCTAGTTCAGTTTATATTTATGCTAGTTTGGTGTGTGCTTCCATGTTGAAATAGCGGAAGAATGGATTATCAAAGAGTTCAAACATTAGCCCATGTACGTGAACTAAGCAAGAAGACGAAATGTCAGCTCACACACACAACAGGAGCCAACACAAGGTATATGATTAATCTGGTTTCTTTTCCGTTAGGGGATTCCCAAGGCTGTGGTTGTTCTGCTGTGCGGCTTCCAGGCGACACCCCCTGGCGCACCTGGGGGGCAGAAACGGGCTTCACCAGCTGCCGGCCAATCTAAGAGCGATGGCCTCCAATCTAAGAGCGATGGCCTCCAACCTAAGCTTGGAAGAAACATCTTAGTCGAAGCTGGCAAAGGAAAGGTCAGCTTGCATGGTCCTACGCGTGGCTTTGCGCATGGTCCTACGTGCCTATCCTCATCAAGGCAACGGCGGGCACCACACGTTTGGAGGACAGAGCAGCAGCTGTCCCTCCGAGTGGTACCGACATTGCTTCCCCTGACTTCTGCCAGTGATCTCCTTAATGAAGCTGCTGCTAAAGAACATTTAAAAACTGTTTTGCTCTCAGCCCACTTCTGCCAGATGCATCAGCTTCGCTGCTTCGCCATCAACACACCTGGAAGTGGTTGTCTGACGGAAAAGAAGTCATCCAGCTGATGTCAGCTGAACGACATAGACCGAACCCCAAGTCCTTGTTGGCTGCCATGCGCTTCGGCCATATGTTTAGCTCATGGGTGAGTGTTCGGATAGTGATGAGGCGTCCGTAACGAGTACCCAATGACAGGAATCGGGCAAGAGCCTGGGACGGGTCTCCAATGCTATTGTTTCTATTGATATGGTCTTCAGAATGTCGAACATTCACTGAGCAAAGAAATCAATGGCGTTCATCACATTCTACTGTGGCATCTCAGAATACCGTCGGTCGAGATGGCGTGGTTCGTTCACCCGAAGTCGTGGTCGTAAGGTTTCGGGGAAATCAGAACATGATCACTTATTGTTAGCATCCCTGGAATTGTATAACACGGTTTCGTGGATGGCATGGCCCCGAAAGAAAGACCATTTTGCGAATACCAAACAGGTTTGTTTCATGGATGCAGCTTTGGCACTTTACTGCTAGTGACAGCGGGAACCTGGCTAGAGGAAGAGAAATGTCCGAGGGCTGGGCAGTTAGTGTGCGAATAACATCCAGTCCATCCTTGTTAAAAGTACTTTGATAGAGCAAGACAGCAAGACAGACAGCTTTCCATTTTACATCATTTACTCAAACGGCAGGGGAGTCAGCCGTTTGGTCCAGAGACTGGAGGAATAGCGGGGAGCTTCCCAAAGGAAGTGTTTGCGTCCTATTGAAGCTGGGGAAGAGCATGAGATTATATGCATGAGATTACAATGGATTATTGACTTATTGATATTGATTCGTAGAAGGGATGGTAACTCAAAAGGAAGACTTTATGGACATCCCCCACCTGATGAACGACCAAGAACCTGAAGCCACCCGGAGCGTAAAGCAACACCCTCCAACCCAGCTCAGGGATTCAGACCTCGGATTCCTTCTGGGTGTCAAACCCTCCCTCAGGGTGTCAGCACTTCTGCTGCTGATTCCCTCGCCACTCGACGGGCAAGAGCTCCGACGTGCTGGGTCTTGAAAAAAGTGCCAAACACCTCATGCCTCATGTTTGATGTGCCACCGTTCCCTACCCAGGAAGTACATGGGATCACCTGCACAAGCTTTTCGGGTGGAAAGTTTGGTTCGCCTTGATTTTTGCCATCGAAAGGAAGGCATCAGGGAGCTTCCAAGGTCGTCGCATCCAACCCACGACGAAGACGACGGTGCTCGGGTCGACTCGGGCGATGTCCAGGTGACGGACTGGTCGCCCAATCAGCCCATCTTCACACGGGGTGGAGACTGGTCGTTCCACCTGCACCCCCTGGTCCACCCAGATCACCCAGCATGTCATGAGCGAACGACCGACACCAGGTAAGTAGGTACAACGTTACAACCGGGTCGGTTTTCCTGGCGCCATGACCCACAGCCATGTTGCAGCATGCATGAGACATGTGGCGTGTGATTCCAAAATACTCCATGAGATTGGAACATATTCAATACATATTCATTGATCCCTGAGCCCTGACTGGTTTCACACTCCAAGTAGGTACAAGTGCCAGTCCCATCAGTGTTTGGGTCAAGAAGTTGACCTCCAGTCGCTTGACCATCGCTTCACCCAGATGAACATCTCCCCACAAGAGTCGAAAGACTATGACCGGCTGAAGTCAAGGACATTGGACTCGGATCAACGAGTCCCAATCTTTGTATAGTCTTTGACTCCCAGGGCACACACGGCCTCTCTCAGGTCCGCCTTGCACACCGACGAGGCCGGTCCGAGTCGGAATTCCGCTGGGCCGACGCCCGTGGGCCGACGCGGGTGCTGTTGGGTGTTGCTGTTGGCTCGTTTTGGATGGCAAGACCGAGACCCAAGCAAGCCATCCAGATTCTGTTTTGGACAAATCCTCCGAAAAACGGTCGATCTTGATCAATGAATGTGGTTTCACCGACCGCCATGAAAAAGCTTCTTTGGTCACGCGAGACCAAGAAGGAGGCACAGCGGAGAAGGAGACGATTGGTCACAGGGTTCTAGGTACCTGGGTCCAGTCCTGGGTCCCATCCTGGTGATCAGTCGCGAGCTGATCACCGACCGGTTGACC